GTCAATTGAAAAATCCAATGGCCTCATCGGGAATCGAACCCGTGATCTTCCTCATACGGAACTAATACAAGCTAGGAAAAAATGAACAATAATTTCAAGATATTTGCTTTACCAAAGCCACGCACTAATATGACTTTTAGCTGCCTGTCTTGAGACACGAAGAGTAATTGTTAGTCTGGAAGTTGGAGAAACAGCCAGTCAATACCTATAAAGATGGTATTGCTCATGTCTATTTATAGCTGTAGTTTATAGTGTAATGAAGGAATGAGATCCTCCATGGCGCAGTCAGAAATTCATGTAAATAATATTTAAAATTCATCTTCTATCACATAGAAAACACGACGATATTACAAATAACAACCAGTTAATGCTGTTTAGGGACACAATCGCTGTTTATTGTCATAATCATACGAAACACATAAATACTCTGCGGGGGGAAATGTGCAGAGTTTATTTAAAATATTAAAACACTTTGTTCGTGCAAAAAACATTGTGGTTTTAAGGGTTAATGATGAAATTAACTTAGGTTTCTTGACTTTAGAGAAACAAAACATGATACATACTTGATGACTTGTAAGTTTTACATGTTATTGTGGTTGTTATTTATTATTTCTTGCTTGGTACGAAAGTACCAAAGTAAAACTACGATAATTACTTAAATAAAATGATACAATTTTGAAGAATACGTATTACAAAGCGACAAGTACCAGATGTACTCCGCTTTATGTGCAATGAACCGAAATTTCTGCAGACAATAAATATGATATGATACGTTAAGAGAATGTAATTAGAGTCTGATTCCTCTGTTGGTGGCAGCCACGTAGTTGAGGAGCTCATCGCTGTCCTCGCAGATGAAGGGCTTCTCGTGGTAGCACGCGACGTCGTGCCAGGCGATCCCGTCGCTGTACACGTTGTTAAGCACGGCGAGACAGGACTCGTTCGTTCCGTTGATGTCAAACTCTGCGTTGTCGGGCTGACGGACCTTCTTGTGGCCGGTCTGGCTCCAGGGATTGAAGCCGAAACCGTTGGGAACCTGGTTGGTAGGAGCCATCTTCTGGCGGGTGGCTGACCAGAACCAGCCATAGATGTTCTTTGGTTCCAGATCGCGTCGGTTCTCGCATCCCTTGAAGTCACAGAGGCGACCACTCGTCCAGATGTAGGGCACATCGCCTGTAACATCAGGTACAAGCGGCACTGAGCACAATTCACAAATGGCGGTTATCTTCTGCTGTGTTTATCTACGGACTGGAGCCGAAATGGTCTTAACTAATTAATCTCTAAGACATGAAGACGTGTGGGCGGAATGCGT